ATCTCAGAAAGCTGGCTACATAGCTATTTGATTCCGCTAGAAAAACCTGGCAAAGATGCTATGTACATAAATGGCTATAGAATTATTACGATGCAGAACACATTAGGCAAAACTAACAAGAAAACTGGCAAGCCATCATGAAATACATCAGCTGCCACCCTCCACACTTGGAGGATACAGACAAAACACGGAGACATGGCGTAATGTTTCCGTCTTTGCACACGACACATTTGAAGGTGTTCAAGCTAAATTTGAAACATGTGCTTTGGCCATAGATCTGGAGGATGCATACAACAAAGTTCCCTTCCACCAACTAATGTGTCAATTAACTGAACTCAACATCCCCCCACATCTCATTCAATAGATATTTGCAGCACTTTTCCAGAGGAAGGTCGTGCTTCGGTGTGGTAGGTGGTCTTCTGAGCCGATAACATACACACTGGTTTGCCACAGGGTTCTCCATTGTCTCCTATCCTCTTCAACATTTAGACAGTCAAGATCCCAGGAGAAAAACTGAGTGGCAGAGAAAGAACTCTATCATATGCGGATGACATCCTCGTGTACCGACAGGGCAGGAACAGAGATTTATAACAGGAATTAGATTGCATTTCCACCATGGTGCAACATTTAATGGGCAACAATTTATCCATCAAAAGTGAGTCACCTAGTTCTCATTAAATACCTTTCCAAAACACCAATGTCGATAGTAAAACTCTGTGGCGCTGACCTGGAGAGATCTGATTCCATGAAATACCTGGGTATAACATTTAAAAAAGCATTTGCTTAGCATTTAAGAAACACGTAGACCACATTATAACCAAAACCAAGAAAGGTCTCTATGCAATAAAAGTTATGGGAGCTGCAAACTTTGAGCAACCGCTACTTGTAATGTTGAATTGTGCATTAGTAGACCATCGACACCCACTTAATGAGGAATTATTCAAGTTAAAAAAAAAAGTGTAGACTCAAACGAGGCAAATCCTGGATAGGTTGGGCTGAAGATGCCGTCAAACATGTTTGCCACCTTACTGACATTAATGTTGCAAATGAATGGATAATTATGCCTCCCTCTCCAAACATTAATATTACAGTGTTTATCACACTTGTTGGAAGTTGTAGAGAGCAGATTCCTGGCATTGTAGACATTGTCAACATGGATTGACGAAAACACAGATGAAGGTGATGCTATAGTTTACACAGATGGGTCAGTAATTAGGGGCAAGCGAAGTGCATGGGCCTTTACAGTAAGCTCAAGGGGTAAAACCATCAAGGAGATGAATGGTCCCTTTGCTGTTACAGCTAGTAGTAGCCTTACAATGGAAACTATGGCTGTAACAAGGGCATTAGCATGGCTTTGTACTAAAAAGTTCACACACTTATGCATTTTTAGTGACTTGATGAGTATGCTTTAAAAAAAATCCAAGCTGGATTTATCAGGCAAGAATGGACTGCAACACTAAGCACTTCATGAATATCTACCCTAACCTTTATCTTTGTGCCAGGTTATGCAGGTGTTCAAGGAAACGAGCGTGCAGACTATCTTGCTGATGCTGCGGTTCCTATGGCTGGCCCAGTACTGGACAGAAGTAATGTTATCAATGCCATGTGCTGCACTTACCATACCGAGGAGCACGCCAAAGGACATGACTCTGTATCCCTGTCTAGACTGATGGACATAGGGGTGCAGCCTGGAGCTGCAAGAAATGAACATTTCATTAAGGGGACAAGACGTTTTATTAACCAACACAGAACAGGCGTCATGAGTCGTTTATACATTGTGGAGCTTTTGAGGAAGAGATCAGAGCACCTATGGATCTGTCTGGAGTGCTGTAATGATAAACCTTTCTAATCACTTTTCTAGAATTAGGGAACTGCTCCTATTGAATCCTTTCAGACAAAAACTTGGTCTTATCACTTTCCTGAAAATCGTCATTTAGTGCACTGCAACTTTGGATATCCACAAGTTCTAACTTGTTCTAAATATTTAAGTGTCCCGTCATTGTTGAATGCCGATTTTTGCATTCCCACTTTGCTTGCTTACAGGTACTAACCATGGCATCAAGTATTTAACAAAATTTAAAAAAATAGATAATTTAAAACACTGTACTGGAAGTTTTCAGCGCATTTAGTGCATTTAATTGAAAATCTTCATCATGAACAACAAGCAGCCATCAGAGCAGCTGGTGAAACATCAGATTGGTTTTAGGTGCAAAAAGCAGTGAGGCAGGGGTGCATTCTCTCACCATCATCATCATCAGGTTCCTTGCCGACTGGCGTAGGCGATTATGCCTCTCCATAATCCACGATCTCCTGCAGCATGTATCAGTTCGTGTGCCGACACACCTCCATGCCATTCAACAAGACTGTCAAGAATCTTCTCTCGTTGTCTTTCTCTATCCCTCCTTCCACAGATCTTTCCAGTGGTCACAACATGTTCTATTATCCCTCTTCTCATAACATGGCCAAAAAAGGATGACTGTCTCCTTCTGATGTTTGTGATAAGTTGTTTTCGGGCTCCTGCCTCTTTGAAAACCTCTTGGTTGCTCTTTTTCGCTGTCCAAGGTATTCTAAGCATTCTTCTGTAAGACCACATCTCTGAGGCCTCAAGAAATTGTTTGGCCTGCCTATCGATTGTCCAGGATTCAAAGCCATATGTTAAAACTGGATGTATGTAGCAAGCAAGAATTCTTTTTCCAACTCTCAGTGACAAGGATAAATTGCACAAGATGTTCTTCATTTTATAAAATGCAGTTTTTACCTGTCCTATTCTGTTTCTTATCTCAGTTATGCATCTTCCATCTGATGTTATCCATGTGCCCAGATAATTAAATTTCTGGTTGATACCACCATTACTTCTGTCTTCCCATTATTCAAGCTGAGGCCCATTCTTCCACTTTCTAACACCACAATGTCTATCATTTCCTGTAGTTTTTTCTGACTTGTTGCTATCAAGACTGTCATCAGCATAGTGTAAATTGTTTACATTGTGCCCACCAACCACAATTCCGGGCATTTCAATTAAAGATCTCATTATATATTCACTGTATATTGAAAACAAATCAGGTGATAGTACACATCCTTGTGGTACGTCCCTCTTTATGCTTTGAAATGTACCTAAACAGTTTTTAATTCTCATAGCAGCTGTTTGCTGCCAATACATCTTTTTATTATTCGTAGATCTTTTCCATAGGTGTTTAATTTTTCTAACAGTTTGAATACTTCTTCATGCTTCACACAGTCAAATGCTTTTGTATAGTCTATCAAGCATAAGTACAAATCAGTCTTTACTTCTATAGCTCTTTCTGACAATGTCCTTAGGATGTATATGGCATTGTTTGTACCTTTTCCTTCTACAAATCCACATTGTTCATCGCTGATTTCTGGTTTAATTTTGTTTCTTTTTCTTCTCATAATTATTCTCAGTAAAATCTTAGTCATGTAACTCTTAAAGACTTATTGTGCGATGGTCTTCACATTTTAAAGTGCCTGGTTTCTTTGGCAGAGCTATAAATATGGATTTTAAAAGGTTATTTGGAATATACCCACTATTATAAATATCATTTAAAAGTTTAGTTATTATTTCAGTTCCAAAATCTCCCAGTGCTTCGATTTCTTCCAATGTTTAGATTACTAGATAGTGTGGATAGATGTAATAGGTTTGCAGAAAGAAGAAAAAAAGCTGATTGATATTTTCTTCTATTAGTAAATTTAAAATGTAACTGAAGTTTGTAAGATCTTATATTCATTAAATAAAAGTTGCAAATGAACTAAAGCAGGTACATCGCAACCTTTTGAAGTAAATTCAGGTGTCAGGGATGTGGGCTATCTCTTCTGCTTTTTTATAACATACATCGACAATATATGCAAAGAAGCAGAGAGATAAGAAAAGAATGATATCTCAGAATTGTTATTTGTAGATGACCAAGTATTAATAGCCGAAGCAGAAAAGAGTTTACAGAACCAAATAGACCAAGTCAATACTAAGTGTGAGAAATATAATATAAAGATAAGCATTGATAAGATGGAGGTTATGGTAATAGGTAGACAAGAAGACACCATATAAAGTAAAGTAAATAACATAAGAAGTAAAACAAATGAAAGAATTTAAATATCTAAGGTCATTTTTCACCTCAGATGGAAGAATGGACAGAGAAATCAACATACAATGTGCGAAAGCAAATCAGGTAATGGGATAATTAACACCGCTTCTGATGCATAGAAAGATACCACTGTCAACCAAAGCAAATCTAATAAGAACGGTTTTTTAGCTGACATTGTGCTACCAGTGCCAAACATGAACCCTTACTACAACTAATGAGGGGAAGATCATAAAAACAGAGATTAGATATTTTAGGAGAGCTGCCGGAGTGACAAGAAGAGATACAATAAGGAATGAAGAAATTAGAAGACTAGGACTGAAACAAGTCATACAGTTCATTAAAGAACAAAAAAAAATGAGATGGTTTGCGACCTGACGAGAACGCCCTGGTACCAACTGCCACAGTGTCACGCTGAAGAAATATAATGAACACAGAATAAGGGAGACCATGCAAGATATGGAACGACATTATAAGGTACATTCTAACAGAAATGAACACCAACTTGTACAATGCATTCAAAAAAGCGCACAAACGATTCTTTCATCTTTCCCCAATACCTTGCTGAGGTAAATGGTGGAAGAGAAGAAGAAAAAGAAGCAAAAATTAACAGTTGGCTTCTTTAGAGGAGAAGATACAACTTGTGTACTCTGATTTTGCCAGATGAACATACACATGAATCACTAGTAGAAGTAAAGGTGTATAATCTTTTCCACTGTGTTTTTATTCTCCATGACTGGACTAAGTTAAAATGTGTAAATTTTGTCACTGTTTTGTGTGTGAATGGGAAATGATTACATAATAGAACATAAGACAACAGTAATTTACTGTTATTCATATTTTCTGTGTTTATGAATCAAGAAAATAAAACTGTATTTTCATTACAAAATGTTTTCCATGCAGATGCTGATGAGGGGTGTGTCCGAGGTTGTAGACAGAATTAAAGCCCTACCAAACATCCCACAGGAAGTCATGTCTGGACTGCGAGGTCGTGAAACGCCTGATGAAAAGCCAGTCCGCAGTCGAAATCAACCTGATTCTGACTCTGTTGATGTGAACACAGCATACAGCATGGACATGGTATGATTTCAGTACTGTCTGGTGAGAATGTCAGATTTGCATAGCAGTAATGTATTGTGGGATAGAATATTACATCATGAGAAATGAAAGCCTTTTTGACAGTAATATGTTATTTTGAGGTAATGTACCGCATCATAGATTTGGAGGAAATCTACAACAAGAAAGTAATATATTATGAAGTGTAAAAATAAAGTAAATAATCCCTTGTCTGGGCAACGGACATACTGAGTATTTTGTGCCAGCCCACTATATTTAAACTGATTGACATTTAATAGCCGAAATTGTTACTGTCACCTTCACTTTCCATAACATTTCCTGGTCTGATTTTAAGCTGGGTGAATTTGAAAATGTTATGTTCTTGAAAACATTTCACTGCCTCAAACACACAGCTACCAGGTTGGCAGATAAGCTTGCTGGTCAGTATGCTGTTGCTGCCTCCCAATGAAGACAAATAGAGTATATTCAGTGACAGTGAAATAAAATATTATATTGACACTATCTGTGCCCTGCCACGTGTTGCTGTGGACCTGAATAGTGAAATTGAAAAGAAAGAAAAGTAGCTCTCAGCTAACAGTGTCTGTCATAACCCTCACCCCCCCCCCCCCCCCCTCCCCTCTCTCCCATCCACCCAGTCATATCTCCCTCTCCGAAGGATTGAAAAATCAAGCCTGGCGAAATTAGTAAAATAGAAATAGTTAAGAAATGAGAACTTGAAAAAAATGTTTTAAGCTCTCTCAGCTAACAGTGTCTGGCATACTCCCCCCCCCCCCCCCCCCCCCCCCCCTCCCCAAATAATATATCCCTCTCTGAAGGAATAAAAAATCATCACTTGGCGAAATTATTAAATTAGAAATAGTTAAGAAATTATAACGTTAAAATAATGTTTTAAGCTCTCTTAGTTAACAGTGTCTGCCATCAACCCCCCCCCCCCCCCCCCCTCTTCACCACACTAATCATATCATCCTCACCGAAGGATGGGAAAGTCATCATCTGACGAAATATTATAACTAAAATGAGCTTTGCATCCGTGTCCACCCAGAGAAAAATGGATAGCATTAATGTGTACTGAGAAGTAAATGTGGCCAGTGTAACAGCTACCACATCACCCATCCATTACTAGTACTACTGCAACCACTACCACCACCTTCCACCACCTGTGCAGGTTGATGTATCCAGAGGAGTTAGCGCCGCATGTTGTCGCCACTGACTGTTTAGTGTAATTGATCCCAACAAAGAAAAGGAAAAAAAAAACTCCATCACCTAACCAAAAATTAAAAAACTCCACCCGTCATCTCCCCCTCTCCGAAGGGACGAATGTTGATGATTTGGCATCCGTGTCCATCCAAAGTAAACTGGACTAAAAAACAGTCACTACTGTCTGTGCAGGTCAATGTATCCAGAGGACATGACCAACATCACGTTGATGCTATCGCAGGCTAGCTGTAAACCCCCAAACCGAGCGGAAAGAAAGACGTAGATATCGCAGCCTAGCGATATAAACCCTATCACAACGTGCCAGCCGCTTAGTTAAGGGCAAAAAAAAAATAACATTTAATCACCTAGTGGGGCATTGATCTCAGTCACCCGCGTACCATGCAAAATATACAACTACACTACATGACAATCATATCATCCTCTAGGAAGTATGGGAAAGTCATCGCCTGACAGTCAGTGCACAGCTACAGAGATAGTCTGATGTGCCAACTCTAGAACATACAACACATCAGTGAATGTTGATATTAGTGGTCGAATAAAGTGCACTGTTAGAGAGAGAAAAAAATAGCTGAGGAAGAGGTATAAAATATAATTATGTAAGAAATGAGAACTGTAAAATAAAGTTATAAGCTTTCTGAGCTAACAGTGTCTGTCATAACCCCCTCCCCTCCCTCCTTCCCCAATCATATCTCCCTTTCAGAATGATTTAATAACTATCACGTGGCGACATTGTTAAAATAAAAATAGTTAAGAAATGAGAACATTAAAATAATATTTTAAGCTCTCTCAGTTAAACGTGTCTGGCATCAACCCCCCCCCCTCCCCCCTCCCCCACCGTAACAATCATATCATCCTCTACGAAGTATAGGAAAGTCAGTGCCTGACGAAATATTGTTGTTAAATTAAGCTTGGCATCCGTGTCCACCCAGACAAAAATGGGTAGCATTAATCTGTACTGAGAAGTACATGTGGTCAGTGTTAACAGCTACCACATCACCCATCGAGTACCAGTACTACTGCTACCACTACCACCCCCACCGTCGTAACAACAACAACACAAAACGGTCACTACTGTCTGTACAGGTTGTTGTAGCCAGAGGAGTTGGCGCCGCATGCTGTCGCTACGGACTGTTTAGTTTAAGTGTGTCCCCGACATAAAACTCCATCACCTAACCAGTGGCGGAACCCACAGTAATATTCCGTGATTTAAAGAAAAAAAGTACACTATGCTCACAAATAGTTGAAATATAAACCCGCACTCGTCATATCTCCCTCTGCGAAGGGACGATGTTTAACTAACCTTGGCAACCGTGGCAAAATGATTAAAAACAAATCCGGACCGGCAATGAAATAAAAAAATGATTTGACCGTTGCTGGAGCTACGTCGTTCGTGATTTGTGCAATTTTGTGACAAAAAATCACGCTTGGAGTCAAAGGCAACGTTGTGTTAAAATTTGAAAGCAATCGGTTCAGTAGTTTCCGAGTCTTCAGCTAACAACATAGGAAAATTAACATTTTTATTAATATAGATGTCAAGGGTAACTTCTAACCTGGCCACCCTGGCCATTAATAAGGCATTAACGAAAGAAAGGGGGCATTTCACTGTCTCATTTAGATATATTTGTTTGTTTGTTGTTGTCATAATCACATTGAGCCAGGAGTGCAGAGAGTGGCCAGTAGGTGCCAAAGAGGCAGAAATTCAGCAATTGATTGAGGATACTACTTGCTCGGGCAGACAATGTGATTGTGTATACAGATGACTCAGTGTCAAGAGGCAAAAGAAATGCCTGGGGATTCTTAGCAAAAGCTAATGGTCAATGTTTGATGCAGGAAAGCCTAGCATAATACCATAACATCCAGCTTAAGAATGGAGTTGGAGGCGGTCACCACAGCTGTCCGCTGGCTAGAGAACATGATACCTATGCTTTATGCAGAGTGGCATGCTTCACTTCGGAGGTCACGAGTGAAAAGCATTATCTGAATCTTTTCTCTGGGTCACGCTGGTGTGGTGAAAAATTAACAGGAGTTTGAACCAATAAATCTTTACACATGGTGGATAAAATCTGTACAAGGCAGGAATGACATGCCTTCTTCGGAAACAGGTGTATAGATTAGCTGGCTCTGCACAACTTGGTGAAATACTGATGCATGATGAGGCAGACGTGGTCAAGGCCCTATATGAGCATGTGTACAGTTTGGAGGCCTGATCATCACAGTCTGGTGAGAGTGATGCAGCGAGAAATGACAAGGTTTCCTGGTCAGAACTCCACACTTAGAGGACCATTGATATTGGAACTCTACGCTGGGGACGGAGTGCTTGTGGGCATGCCCCAAGTGCTATGATGTTGTTTCTTGAATCAGCTCCACTCAGCTCTAATATTTTGGTTATTTCAATAAATTTGCCAGTGCACATATAATGGTACGGTCACTGAGCTGCCACACTCTGCCCTAACCTCATATTAGAGAAAATAGAGAAGAAAATTGTACCAGTAAGAGAGGTGGTGGAGTACAAACTTTATTTACCAGTGATTCATGTATGATCTTTCACATTCTAATGGAGCGCTCCCCTTACCCCCCTCCCCCCCCCCCCCCCCCCCAACATTAGATGACTCAGTCTGACTCATCTTGATTGATTTCAAGATAGAACTGAAGGTGTTGCAGAATGTGTGAGTGTGTGCGTGCGCACACGCACACAGTCAGTATTACCTAGCTTGACTGCTTGCTTCAGGAACAGAGTGGACCAAGACTCGACTTCACCGACTAGTGGTAGCATTAGAAACAGACCACATCAACTCATTTTGGATTTTTTTTTTAAAGTGTAAAAATAGGAATCATACCTGGCCTAAAATGGCTGAAGTTGAATGTGTTAAGAATTAAAAATTTTGCAGATTTCTTGTAAATTGTAAAATACAACTATCTTATTTCAGGGTTAGTAATAAAAACACGTTCCAGAGATTTCCATGAAAAAGGAATGGCAACGAGGAAGGCATGTCACTCCTGCCTTGTACAGATTGTATTCACCGTGTGTAAAGATTTATTGGTTCAAACCCCTGTAGCATTGTCTGTTAAACTCATTTCACCATTAACCTCAGAGAATGGCAGTATCTTCCTATACTAGGTTTACTATTTACTTGTATTTTCCAGATCTCAGAGACTAGCAATGTCTTACCCATGAGCTCACTTCAGATATTGCAAGATTTGGATACAGAAGATGACAAAGATCTCATCCACAGTGTCATCACAGACCCAAGGGTGAGAGTTTATTTTTTATAATCTTTACTGGCAACAACTGTTATATGAACATTATATGCTTTATTGATGAAATACAATTAGGGTGTGAAAGATGAGTGTTTGTAAGGGTTGAATATAAGACAAGCCTGCATGACTTGTAACCCTTTGAAAATTAAGTTTCTTCGTTCATTCAAGAATCTAGTTACATAAATTTGGTCTTCCAGCCAAAATGGCTAATAGCTAGCTAACCGCTGATGCTGTAAAAAGTTGTTACTGATGTAAATTCCCCATTTATTGACCAGCAGTCCACATGTTCCAGTGCTTAGCAACTGAGTTGAGTGGTTGATGCTTCCTTTGTTGGTTCCAGGGCCCTATTGAGGAGAATCTGCCTGAGAGGTAAGGAACCAACAGTCTGCATACATATGAGCCAGATCTGTAAAACATATGTGCATGCAAAACTCACGTACTGGAACATTTCTCAAGTCGAGAGGTGGACGAAAATGGGAACTTTCTGTACAGCTGTTGAGTGTGAAGAAGAAGAAAAAGGTGTGCTTGGTGCCATGCTGTGAGCTGTGGATTTCATGTGGAATTTTTTTTCTCTTAATGCCTGGGGTGTGTTGTTGACTGCACTCAAATCTTGGGTGGCAGATTACATTCAGAATAGCATGTACTTTTGCAGATGCAATGTAGGCTTTCACAGAGAGCTACAGTTTGCACATCTGACAGCTGCCTTTTGTATTTTTACTTTGGGTGTGCAAGCATCAAGATTTTTCTGGGACTGACAAGTATTTAACTAGTTTTCAAATGGGCCAGTGAAGGACATTTTTTTTATGATTTCCAATGGCATGGGAAAGGAGCAGTTATGGGGTGTCCTGTCTGCAGTTATGTTGGAACCTTGACTAATAACTGAATTCCAACAGTTCTGAATGTCCAATTGTTTTTCTGCTTCCTGCTGCACCATTGTACACATTCAGAATTTTGGGACATCATTTTATAGTTTATATCTCCAGTCTCCCTTTATATGTCAGAGACATCAGTAAAATCCCTAATAGTTTCGAAAACATCTGACTACCAAACAAAATGTGCCTTTTCTGTTAAATAATTGGAAGCATTTATCCCTCATCCTGAAAGCATTTAAATTGTAAAACAAGTTTTCCCATTATGAATTTAAATAATGCAGACACAAACAATACATTGCACAATATATTGCCTGGCATATGTCACCATATCACGTCAGGTGAATTACTACAGAATTCCATCAACATATAACAAAGCATTTAAATTATGTTTGGACACAGAGGTCAACCACCCCATTTCTACTGTATCAGTCATTCAGATGGTTTTCTCCTCAGTGAGAGTTGTTTCCTTTTTTTTTTTTAACCTTACTGAACCATTTCCCGCTTAACAGTTTTGAGTTAAATATTAAGGACTTGGATTATATTAGTGATGTAGTTAGCACTAAAGTGGCCCCAGTTATTGCATGACTCACTATGGGATACTTTGAGCAGCAATTCTGATAAACATAGGGTTAGATGTCTGATGTATATAAAGGTACATAGATGACAATGTGGGCATCACTGAATTATCCAAAGATGAAGTGGACAAATTCTTTAGTTTCGTCAGTGATTTAAATTCTGCCATAAAATTTACTTCTTAGATTATCACAACATTGATAAATTTCCTAGACATGATATCCTCCTGTCCTCACAACCACTGTCTACTACCTCGTCACGCTGCAGGTCCTTTACAGAACATCTGAAAGAAGCTTGGTCTTTCTCTCTCTCTCCCAAATTCGACACTTTTCTCTCCATGCTGTCCTCTGCTAGTTGACCCTTTCTTTCTTAATTTAAAAAAAACACACCTGATATCATGCACTTCATTACTGTTCTTTTTAAACCATTGCAATATTTGATAAGACCAGTTATTTCAGTTTACCATGACAAGATGCAGTCTTCTATGACGTTTCTTGAGATAGTATTTATAGATTTTCCTTGCTTTCCACATGCACATGGCTTTAGATGATGTCCTTAATTTTCAGCAATATTTGACCTTGTCAAGGCAAGTGAGTGCCCATTTGTGTGGTATATGCTTAGTAACAGCAGAGGACAACCCAAATCTGTGCACTTATCTTGATGGATACTAAGTCCTGATAGTTGCCTGGCCCCACCATTGTGTGTTTACCATTTTCTACCATGTGGAGGTGCAGTTGGGTTTTTCCTTTGCTGAGTCTTGAGACCAGAGTGACTTTTCTCAAAACTACCATCCACCTTTCCCTCATTTCTCACAGTGATTTTTTTGGTATGTCTTACAATATATTCTCATGCAAAGATTCCAGTTTCATTTACGTACAGTTCCTAACCCTCTGAAAGTGTTTTGTTCATCCGTGGCTTCATCTAGGCTGGTTATGTTCTAAGAACTCTGACTGTATGCAAGGACCATGAGTCTGTTTCTACTCTGAATTCATTCATCAAGAAACTCACACAAAAAAGCACTCTTCGTCTTCTAGACAAATCTTTTTAGTCATATCATAATCTCTACTGGATAAAACCAAACTGTGGTGCATTAATTTCAATTACAGGCATGAGGGAAAGTTAAGGTTGCTGTGGTCGTGAGGGCAAGTTAAGGCTGCTGTTTTCGTGAGGGCAAGTTAAGGCTGCTGTGGTGTGTGTAAGGAGATACTCTGTACCTCACCTCAGGTACCAGCAGGTTCTTGCTGGGTTTACAGATCCTCCTGCAAGATGCCACATGTCCTCAGCGTGCTCTGTGGATAATAGCCTGTATCAACCTAAACCAAGCTGGCAGTGAACCTTGGCGTTGGTAGCTCCCAAAAATGCACTGCCAATCAATACTCTGACACTTGTCATTTCCACCCCCCCCCCCCCCCCCCCAACCCCCGTTCATGAATGATTATGTACATGAATACAAATTGGGGCCATGAGTAGTTAGCTGGCCGAGTACCCTCCTGAATGACAAACTCAGGTTCAAATGTCTGTCATTTGAAAATCTTACTGTATAACAAATCCTGCTTCAGACATCTGTAGATGAACACTCCAAATGTGTGGCTGCTTAGGTTCAAGTGTATGTCCGTCAAGTATCCTACTATATGCCAGCAACGGTTCAAATATCCACTACCGATGGCAACAACCATCAAAGTGTAATGACCGTACAGTGAAGCCATGCCTAATATATCTCTTCTTCCTCATTTCCATATTATTGCTTCAAGTGTCGAGGAAGATATAAGGTTCTACTTTTTTTGCTTTTCTGGCTGCTTCAGACATAGACACATCCTGCTGTGGTAGAGTCTCTATGGGGTTATATTTCCATCTTGTACCTCATGATCTACATCTGTCTGCTCTTTTGATGCATGCTTTGAAGGGATTGGAATGGCATCACAATGTCATTCTTTCTAAGTGGGCAGATCATTTGATTTGCTGTCTTTGTATGTAATTTAGAATTGGTTCTTTGTCGCCTTTATCTTTAAAAAACTCATTCCTGATTGTATCCTTTCTAGTAACTCCTGCAGCCCTTCTCAGACATCTCATTTCGATGGTTTAACCCTACCAGACCTGTGGCCCTGAACCTAACTGTCCCTATAACCTGAGCTCCTGGGCATTACCGCGAAAAAACCAACATGATATACAAAAATATTAGTTACATGCAAACTAGTGGCTAGAATGTGATTAAACTTGGAGACATTGTAGAAAATAGGCTTACTTTTTATCTAGCGCTAATATTCCACCTTTGTGTGCGAATCCAGTCATCAGTATCAACTTTGTTTCACAAAATGAACACCAGATGTTGCCGTTTGAGGGACACACCACCTTCTCCCACTATCGATCTATTTCAAGATTTATAATTTTCAAGATTTTCCTCATCATTCGCGCTCTCACTGACAGTGTCACTTCAAGAAATTATCTCTCTAAGAACGTATTCTTTATGAAATTATCACTCCGCAGAGTCTGAATAAACCAAAGTATTGATCACCTGTTGGACTGTGAAACGCCTAGAACTTGGTTCTTCAGCCGCTCATTTCATTGTGAATTTTCAGAATTTTCCCACGTAAAACAACACAAATATAATCCAAACACATGCGGGCAGACATTTGCAGTGTCTAACAAAGAGGATTGATAACGATTGGGTGGTTAATTTTAGTTCGTGACGCATCTTTTCGCGTACTACGCAAAAAGCCGAAATTTAGGGCAAGCGGTCTGGCGTCATGTTAAGAAATTCCTGGAAAACTGGGCCAGCGGTCTGGTAGGGTTAAACATTTTAATTTTTTGGGGGGTTTGTTGTAAGTGACCATGTCTGGTACTGGTAGCTTAGGGTGGTTATATATATGCTTTATATGAGATTTTTGTTTATGCTGATTGGGATTGTCTTGTGCTGTAAAAGGGGTACTAGCTGTCCCATTACTTAGTTTGCTTAAAAGGAATTCCAGAAAAATTTGACTAACTAGCTCAACAAAATGGGGAAGCAGAAAAACGTGAACAAAACAACACAACATAACGTTTCGGCCGGGCAGCCTTTTTCAAACATAAGTGAACTACACAAACAAGAAATGGAGAGTATGTAGATCTCTAATGGGTGACGTGAGCAACGTTTAAAAAAATGCGAAGTGGAATAAATGAAAAAAAAAATAGAATAAACAATGGTAATAAAATATAGTCACACAAAAGTAATAAACAGTAGTATTGTTAATATATAATATGATACTGGGAATAAAAGAAATACAAATGTTAATGATACATAAATGATATTGATAAGAAATAGAATAAAGTAATAATATGAAATAAAATAAAATAAAAGAAAATAATTAACATTTGAAATGTGATAAGAGTAGAACTATTTAGATGAAGGTATGTTGGATATTGATACCACCTGGACTAAGAACGCCTAAGCTGTGGATGAGGCGATTTTCCAAAGCGAGGCGCTTAGTATGATCGCCAGAACAAGATTTTAATGCTGTGACAGATATATCATATTTACCTCTGTGGTCAGAGCTATTGAAATGGAGAGGGATT